TGTCCAGTGGCCAGTGTAGACCGCTCACAGCTTATTCCAGAAAAGCGGCTGCTTTTCCGGAATAAGTGGCCCAGTGCAGGCTGTGTCTACACTGGGCCACTTATTCCGGAAAAGCAGCCACTTTTCCGGAATAATTTGCCAAGATGAGGCAGTCAAGATGAGGATCTGTCGACAGGGAACGCCTTTGTAGACTGCTCTGGTAAACCTCGTTTCATGAGGCATAAGGGTGGGGTCGACAAAGGCATTCCCTGTCAACCGTTCCGCGTCTTGACTTCTCTGCTGTGCTGACGATCAGCTAAGCTGGCACAATGTGGAGGCCATTTTTATTTTAATGAAGTGGGGGATATTTAAATCCCCGCTTCATTGATTATGTCGGGTAGTCTAATTTACACGCCTCTGTCGGCAGAGGCATGTAGTCTAGACATACCCCCAAGGGCCTGGATTCTGTATTTGCCATTGCTCCCATGAGGGGCATTTCCAAGTACGGTTCGATGGCCCAACAGATCACACATGTGCTAGTGACACAGACTTTGGCTGCAGCCTTTCAAGCACGCTCTGTCCCATCCTCCCCTGTCCCCCAGGTTTGGGCGCAGGGAGTTGATCCTTCACCCCAGCTGCCGGTGGGGCAGCCGCTCTGCCAAACTTTTAACCCAAGATCTTTCCAATGAAGCCTGCCACCCGTCCCTCCTGCCCACCCCCAGTGAGGCATGGGAGGTGAACACAGCTGTCGCCGCTCGCCGCTCCCGGGCACTCCCCTGACTCAGAAGCCAAGACGGGGCCATTCTCCATGCTCAGCAGCTGTGGGGCCCCACCCCAGAGTCAGCTGCATCTCGGCACGCAGGGAGCAATGGGCAATGCGGCCCTGCTGGGTGGATGCTGTCTGCTGCCTCACCCCAGAAGTGGCTGCATTTCAGCCAGCTGAGATTCTCCACAGCATCAGGAAGCCTTTGGCCCCGGCCCTGGATTCCCTCCAGCCCTGCCCCCACGTGTCCAGCTCTCAGCAAGGTCACTGCTCAAAGGATCAATACCCCGGGGGTTGTTCGTCTCTGCATCGGAGCCATTAGTTGGCTCCAGCGTCCTCTGCGTGCTGAACCACAAAAGCTGCAGAGCTGCAACAGGACTGGGGACAGGGGACTTGGTGCTGCCAAGGGGTCTCCCTGCTGTGAAACGGTGAGAGAGGGAACGACGCAGCATGGAGGGCTGGAAGTGGGGTCTCCCTGGGGAATCACCCATCTACTAGAGCATTTCTCAGATCCCACATCAAGGACCCCTTTTCCTTATTCACTGAGGCTGGAACCCAGGTGCCTAGCCCCCTGCCCTAACCACTAGACCCCACTCAGCTCCCCGAGCTGGGGTTTGAACCCAGAAGTCTTGGATCCCCACCTGCCCTCGGCTCCCTGCACATGACCATCCCCCCACACATTCTGGAAAGGAGGCACCTTTGCACCCCACTCTACAGCAATTGGGGCTGAATCAGAGCCCGTGCGCCCCGGAAGGGAAAGACCCCATGTGCCAATTCCTGCCCCACCCCATTGACCCACCCAGCCCTCCACCTTGAGCCTGGATTCTGCATTTGCGGCTGCTCTCGGGAGAGCCCGTGCGCCCCGGAAGGGAAAGACCCCATGTGCCAATTCCTGCCCCACCCCATTGACCCACCCAGCCCTCCACCTTGAGCCTGGATTCTGCATTTGCGGCTGCTCTCGGG